TCAAAGGTCATACAGTGCTTTTTCACTATGTTTATCCTAATGGGCCCATTCCAAATCATACCCCATGCCAGTGGTCCTTCACAAATATGCCATAACTCCTTTCTCACAGGAAGTACACATTCAACACCAAGAGAATATAAATACTATCATAGTGAGGTATTTATTGTATAAATACATGTGTAACATGCAAAGAAATTTGCCACTCAAATTTACTAGTGCCCAGTACATTAGCACCAATACATCTAGTCTGCAGTATACCCACACTCCAGAGCTGACATGTGTTCCAAAGCCCGATAGTTGGCTCAGGAAGTGACACCACTATATTACCAGTAATTACAGATTTAATACCGCATTTACGCGTTTCTCTATTGCGGCATCTTCAGGAAGCTTTCTGATGTTACTATGTTATCTAAAATGATGTACATAGTCCTGCCTCAACACATTTCTCTATCACGCTGTCTTCAGGAAGCTTGGTAAATTCCACTCAGCTCCTTCCAACCAAAGTCAGAGAGATAGTTAATTCAAGCATGAAAATATACTGTTCACCTCTCAGAAGGAGCTCCAAGATCTTTAGCTAGACAAATTGGTAAACGGAAGGAGAATTCAAAAACGAAATGCCTCCAGCATGACTAATCAAATTGAAAAGAGGTTTTTAGCTGGCATCTCGCCATCCTGGATAGGTCTTGGAGCAGTTAGTTATCAGTTCCATCAAATAAGAAGGTTCCTAGTTGCTATGGCTGATGCATTGTGTCTTCTTTACAAAGACGAAATGTACATGACCAAAAACATATCTAGGTTGAGTGTGCTCAGGACGGCAATGAGCATTGGCACTGTGCACAGTATTTATCTCAAGCTGAGATAAATGAGATTTGTTGGCTGGGGGTTAAACATTTCTATGACAGTGGCTTTGATATTACTTGCAGCTGTCACCTCAGGAATACCCCAACTTTTTATTTCTGCAATTCTGATTCTTGAGATCATTATGTTGCAAATGATGCTGCAAGAGACAGTGGACCTATTGAGATAATGGAACCTCAAGGCAGAAGAGCCCCTCCATCATGGCATCCCTATTTGAAGTAAGGGCATTTGTAAGATAGTATGGCTCATCTCCTTTATGTCCTTACTGAGAGTTCTCTCAATTTGAGCAGCAAGTGAGCCATTCTCCTGTATCATGGGTAGAAAGAGTAAGATAGTAGACATATTTGTGGGAGAGAGTGCAGGACCCTTGGTCTGTATGAAAGAAATCCCTATTGTTGTCAACTTGGAAATGATGTCCAAGCCAGAGCTAAGTGATCAGTCCCCAGGGCATCCAAGCAGGCACTACTCTCTTCAGAGGAGAAGGGGATTTCAGAGGCTTAGATAGTTGGATGGATTGTTGCAGTGTCTGTACATAGTATCACAGTCATGGCAAGGATCTTCTGTGGCCATAGGCTGAAAGAATCAGTGAATATTCAAGGCAGCCTGTAGGATAGTGTCCTTAGGTGTTTTCCTCTTTATGGCATTGGTCCAGGGAAAGAAAAGAATTACAGTCCTCAAGGAAATTGGCAGTGGGTGCAGAGCTCAGCATTGATGTGCCTTCACATTGCTATGTCCGGAACCAATTCCAGATCAAAGACAAGGATGTTAAGTGCTTGATCATTGGAGGAGAGAAGGTCTGAAGCTCTTCCTGGACAAAGGTGTAATTGCTTGCTCTTCAGCAAACATTGTGGGCCACATTGTATATGCAGGTACAAGAGGTAGCAACAGATCCTGCTAAAGTGGAGGCTGTGGTAACCTTGCCACATCCCACAAATCTGTCAGAACTTATGTCCTGATTGTGGCCACTTATTGGTAGATATTCACTGCATTTTAATCATGTGATATAAAACTTGCTTCAACAGGAAATTGACTTTTGCTTTTGAAGAAGTACAGACATGATGTGGCCACTTACGGTGCTACAGCTTCTGTAATAGAAGACTATTACATTTTCTGATTTGCTGACTCCTTGGAAGCTTTAGAAGCTGTAGAAGACCCAACTTTTACTTCTACCCCGCAGCTTTAGGGGTACCAGAAAACATCCTACCACAAAAAGAGCATATAATTCTTCTACAGAAGAGATATCCAGTAATTAGAATTTTATAGAGTTGGTTACCCACATAAACCCTAATTACATGAAAAGAACCTTACATAAGCACAGTGCCTACTATCTCAATGAATGTGATAAGCTAAGCATAATCGGCAGCAGGGGCGGACTGACCATTTGGAAACTTGGGCACTGCAGGGCCCGGGGTCAGTAGGGGGCCCCATGAGATGCCCCTGGTACCTTTTTCATAGGCTTTTTTGAGTTTGGGCAAGGACACAGGGGCCCCATGATCCCCTATTGCCCAGGGGCCCCATGAGTTGTCAGTCCTCCCCTGATCAGCAGATTTAAAATTAAGGTACACTTGTTCCATGATTATCCTCTGTATCACTTCACTTTCACAGCATCCATGTGCACACTTTCACTCCACCTTGAGCGCTTCATCCCCACTGATTGTGCTCTCACCTGGTTTGTATGGCCTATATATAAATGTAAGATCAAAATAGGCTTGTGTCCCCTTTAAACGGGATCCTGTACCTTCCTTCAATTGAACTTCCCACATGATTAGCAACTCCAGCAAACCCTCAATAAATTGCAGCACTGGTTCCCTTTAAGCAGTTCTCATGTGTCCAGGTCTCCCACATATCTCCTGTGCTTTCTCCTTGTAAAATGCCCTGAAGTCTCAGTGCTTGCTAATGAAATCCAACTGTATTCAAATTTGCCCTTCTTCAAGATGGCCCCTATCTCTATTCTTGACGTAGTGACCAAACGCGCTACACTCCAAACTTCAAATTTCAAACCCCACTAAAGCCTATTGGGAACAAATTTTGCAAATCCATTCTGCTCCTGTCTACTGTCTCTTATAAACACAGAAGTGCGGCTGAAGTGACGGCACCATCTGCTCCCACAGAAACTCCCTACCTCTGTACTCACTGTGGGACAGGGAAGGAACAGAATATCTGTGGGTGCAGTATGCAGTGTGTTTAGGGGTGGGGCATCTCCTCCTGCAGTCTAATGCATGGAAGCCGATGCCCCAGGGGTGATCGCCGGCCAGTGGGGAAGAGGTGGAAGGTTGAGTAAGTGCACTTGGTGAACTGTGTGGGAAGATAGGACCTGAAACGGGAGTTACTATAGAGAGGGGCCAGCTGCTGACAGCTGTGTTTTGCAAAGATAGCGCTAACCATATGAGGACAGTGGAGAGGGGGGGAGGGTGTGCAAAGGTGAGTTGCAGTCAGGTGTTGCAGAGGTAAATTGAGTCAGGTGAGTTGCAGACAGGGTGCATAGGTGAGCTGCGGCTGGGGGGGGGGGTGCAGAGGTGAGCTGAGTTGCAACCCACCTTTGCACCCCCCAACCACAGCTCAGCTCTGCACCCCCCGGCCACAGCTCAGCTCGGCACCCCCCGGCCACAGCTCACCTCTGCATCCCACATCTGCAACTCACCCCTGCACCCTGTCTGTGGCTCATATCTGCACCCTGTCTGAAACTCACCTGTCAAGTCACCCCTGCAACACCTGACTGCAGCTCACAACTGTCATCAACCGGCCCTCTCTATAGCAACCCTCATCTGCAACTGCCTGCAGCTCACCTCTGCACCTCCTGTCCACACCTGGACATTTAAAAAATAAGACCTACCCCGAAAATAAGACCTAGTGTGTTTTTTTGAGCCAAAAAAAAATATAAGACAGTGTCTTATTTGCAGGGAAACACGGCATCAAGGGAGTGGAAATTGCGGTTACCATCATAAATTATCTCTTTTCGCCAACGATGATTATAACACACACCCTAATTACTCTACCTAATCTAAAAAAAGAACTGAACAATTTAAAAAATATATCTGGCCTATATATCAATTATGATAAATCTAAAGCTCTTAATATAAATCTCCCAGATGGTGTCCTTGCTCACATTAAAGTAAACTTTCCTTTACCATGAGAATGCACTTCTTTACCTTATCTAGGCATTCATCTTACTTCTACTTCTGATTCTCTCTTTGCAGCCAACTACTCTTTAACTTTATACCACCTATGCACCTTTTGAGACATGGAAGAAACACCAGTTTTCATGGATAGGACATATAGCATTATTAAAAATGGAATTCCTTCCTAAACTAATCTACCTATTTTGAGTGCCCCCAGTCAAAATCCTCTTTCATGTTCTATGATCAATTCAAAATCAGATATTTGCCTTCACTTGGGATAAACATAAACCTTGAGTTATCTGCAAAACTGCATCTTCCAACTGAATATTCAAGGAGTTTAGCAGTTCTAAGTATTTCAATATTACTCAGCTGCACAAATAGCACAACTTGCAACATGTATAAACCAAACCTAATTATCAATCAGCACAGCCACTATTTAATTACTATTTAATCATAACCCATGATTCAGCACGAGATACTGTAAAATGTGTTAACAGATCCTGCATTCATGTCCTGGTATTTTGTGTGTCCTATGGATCAATAAATACACACTATATTCATCAATCCTCTGGTGTGCGGCTGACCCTTCTTCCTATTGCACCTCTCAGTAAATAATGCAGCAAAAGATGCCACACAAACCACATACTTTCACTATAAAATAATAACAAAGTCCAAAACATAAAGTCCAAAGTAGTAAGATGTTCCACCAAATTATCCATGTTTACTACCAAATTATCCACGTGTCTCAATATCTCCACGCACCAATATCTTCTATAACTGATCACCAGTGCTACTCATGCATACACCTCCCATGAACAATATATGCTCAACTCCAGACTAGGCCCCGATGGCCAGTCAAGAGTCTTCAGACTTTATGTTTTGTGTCACAAGTTAGCTTGCAGCCTTTTGTGTGTTTACTCTTACCTCCTTGCTACTCTTGATTCCTTCATATGTGTGTTGTTCTGTGCTCACCTATGGGCGTCGTTTGCTATTCCCTGGGTTTTATGTCCTTTCCTTCCATCACTTCCTGTCCCACCTCCTTGTCTGCCTGTCTATTTAAGATGTGCTCAGACTGGGCCACATTGCCTGAGCAACATTTGTTGTTGGAGCTCCCCAGTGGTCTTCTGAATCCGTTTAGTATATCTGTGTACCGACCCCAGCTTCGTCCCTGACATTCCTCCTGTATTGTCTATCTGTGCACCGACCCCGGCTCGTTCCTGACATCGCTAGTGTTCTGCCTGTCCTGACCTTGGCTTGCCTACTGGATATCCTGTCTCTACTCCCATTGCACCCTGCTCCCGCTAGCGGTCTCTTCTACCTCAGCTGGGTGTACCTGGGGGCCGTGACCTGGTTCCAGCCTGCTCCAAGTCCATCCCCACCATCAGGGGCCCTGGTGAACAAGCAGGCTGGGGCTTAGACTCCGCGCCCTGGGGAACCCCAGCTGTGGTTTTAGAGAGCTCACTACCATAGACGTGACAGTTTTGTACTTTATTAATTTTTTATAGTGAAGGTTTGTGGGATGCGCAGCATCTTTTGCTGCATTACAGCTTGCAACATACCATAACTCTACAGGCTCACCTCTTTGGATAGCTATAGAAGCCTCTTTACTGGACCCTATATCCATTGAATCAGTTGTATGGATTTTTCCAAGATTCTGAAGGGAAATTAACAACCCTATTATAAACCACTCTCTCTCAATATGGGATACTTCCAAATACACTGGCGGTCTTATGCCCTCATATGCTCCTCTACTTCCAATTACAGTACATGCAATCCAATGTTCCCCCCCTCCATTTGTATTTCTTAAACCATTCAAATTTAGATGGTGGGTCTTCAATTATTTATACAAAATCAATGATTTGATATCTTCTATAGACGTTTAAACATAATCTACTCTATCGAGAAACTTCCAGATATCATCAAATTAAAAATGTTGTGACTCAAGTTATTGGTTCATCTTCAACTCTTTGAACTCTGACTCTTTTCAAAGATTCCTGTAAACATGACCATACAGCTTATCACAATAATATACACATCTATTCTTGAATGCGCCCCTCTCCCACATTCGTACATGACTAAATGGGAAATTAATCTCAATGCTACTGGTGTTGAATCCAATTACAAACTATTGATGAGATGGTATACGGTTCCCCAATGCTTAGCCAAAATTAAATCTACAGTATGTGATAAATATTGTGAATGTGTATAACTGCACTCAGTGTAAAAAAAAAAAAAAAATAATTAAAGACTCTTGCTTGGTAATCTCCAAGATAGGGAACAATATCACAGATCACTGGTATACCACTCCTCTCTGTTTCCTTCTTGCTTGATCTGCTGCATACTCGGTCAAGATAATAAGATTCTAGATAGTGTGAAACCGTACAACAATTTTAATAAAAGAATTTAAAATTACACTTACAAAACATCAGTGTTCGCAAGCATGTATATCATAAATGCAACTGGTGCCGGCTCCAGACAGGCATGGATGACATCAGCACAAACTTTACCCACTCTGACGTACATTTCGTCTCAATAGACATTGTCAAGGGGATCAGGTGTTCGTGCTGACGTGCATGCTGTGTTTAAATAGGCAAAAGCAAACCTATGGTAGTCACATCCACATTATCACTGGTGTCAAACCTTCATTCAAAAGCTAAACCACAAATGACTAAAATGCTGTTTGATTGTATGGGGAAGGTCATACATAAATATTAAACATAAAATTTAAAATCACAGTATAACCCTTCTAAGTATAATTTTATTGTTATTAACTACCTCTAGTGGTGAAACCTGATAAGATCATCACATCCAAAAAATGTCTCAGCACTACACCACCTACAACAACAGTCAAAATGAATTGAATAATTAATTCCACCAGTTCCAATGTGGGTGCCTATCCTGTTAACAATCAATACATGAAAATAATAAAATGAAATAAAAATCCTAAAAATTGTACTATTAAACATCATAATCTCTTTCTAAAAAAGTTCTAAATTAATTAATAGGACATGTGCCAATCCAATCATATATCATTGCTCCCAACTATTTATAAATACCATAATAATAGTGATACATGAACCAGTGTAAAACATAACATGGGTACTATTAACCTCCCTAGCGGTATGATTATGTCCATATTTCTGTGCTGAAAGTGGTACATTTTTTTGCATGGAAATATGTCGTTTTTTTATTGTAGGCTTGTAATTTTTAGGAATAACTCACTGAAATCTATCCGAACAAGAGTCTAGTAAACATTCTAGGTAGGATAAACCAGGTAGGAAACACAAAATCATAAATTATAATTTAATAAATAATCATAAAAAATAATAATATAATAATAAATTTAATTCAATAATATAATCAAACCAAAAAACACTGAAATTTGAAATATAGCGCCAAGTTCGCACATCACTGAGCAAAGTTGCAAAATCGTTTTCAGTGTCTGATGACGAATTTCCCCACAAATCATTATCACTCAATTCTGGAAGTGGTTCTAATTTACTATCGCTGTCCTCTAGCTGGTCTAAAACTGCTTTTGACCTAAAGGGACGCTTTTTGGACGCCATGGACTTTTCTAAGTTTCCAGGCAGAAAGAACAATCAAAATGCAGGCAGGGCACAGGACAAAGCATTAGGGACAAAATGTATGTGAAATGGTTTGAAACAGTAATGTTTTACTATGTTATTTTAGTTTATTAGAAAATGAAATTTTTCAAAATTTTTACATTTGCCGCCGGATCCGGCCCCCGTACGTCCCGTACGTCTCGACGCTTGCAGGGACTGGAACACGGAAGCCGGATGCCAGCATCGACTGGAGGAGATGGCCGGGGACTCTGCAGGGGACGCATCACGGGAGCAAAGGACAAGGTAAGCGCTGCAGGGAATCCCTGAGCAACGCCGCATGGTAAGCCCGAGTGTAGCTCGGGGTTACCGCTTTTGGTACTGAAACTTTACCCTGATCTACACTCGGGAATACTGCCAGGGAGGTTAACTATAATTAACTATTATTAATAAAACAGTTCATATTCCATTCAAAATTATGTCCATGGGGTGCATAAGATTTCAAGTCAAAGAACCACTTTGTTTCGAGCTGACAAACCCCTCTGATCTTATTTCCTCCTCTCCAATACGGTTCAAATATATCTATACCTACAGGTGAAACTCAAAAAATTTGAATATCGTGCAAAAAGTTAATTTATTTCAGTAATGCAGCTTAAAAGGTGAAACTAATAAATGAGATAGATTAATTACATGCAAACCAAGATAGTTCATAATTGTGATGATTATGGCTTACAGCTCATGAAAACCCCAAATCCACAATCTCAGAAAATTAGAATATTACATGCAATCAATAAAACAAGGATTGTACATAGAACAATATCGGACCTCTGAAAAGTATAAGCATGCATATGTACTCAGTACTTGGTTTGGGCCCCTTTTGCAGCAATTACTGCCTCAAAGCGGCGTGGCATGGAAGCTATCAGCCTGTGGCACTGCTGAGGTGTTATGGAAGACCAGGATGCTTCAATAGTGACCTTCAGCTCTTCTGCATTGTTCGGTCTCATGTCTCTCATCTTTCTCTTGGCAATGTCCCATAGATTCTCTATGGGGTTCAGGTCAGGTGAGTTTGCTGGCCAATCAAGCACAGTAATCCCATGGTCATTGAACCAGGTTTTGGTGCTTTTGGCAGTGTGGGCAGGTGCCAAGTCCTGCTGGAAAATGAAGTCAGCATCCCCATAAAGCTTGTCTGCGGAAGGAAGCATGAAGTGCTCCAAAATCTTCTGGTAGATGACTGCGTTGACTCTGGACTTAATGAAGCACAGTGGACCAACACCAGCAGATGACATGGCTCTCCAAATCAACACAGACTGTAGAAACTTCACACTTGACTTCAAGCATCTTGCAGTGTGTGCCTCTCCATTCTTCCTCCATGCTCTGGGTCCTTGGTTTCCAAATGAGATGCAAAAGTTGCTCTCATAAAAAAAGAGGACTTTGGACCACTGAGCAACAGACCAGGTCTGTTTTCCTTTAGCTCAGGTAAGATGCTTCTGACGTTGTTTGTTGTTCAGGAGAGGCTTGACAAGAGGAATACGACATTTGAAGCCCATGTCCAGGATCCGTCTGTGTGTGGTGGCTCTTGATGCACTGACTCCAGCCTCAGTCCACTCCTTGTGAAAGTCCCCAACACTTTTGAATGGCCTTTTCCTGACAATCCTCTCCAGGCTGCGGTCATCCCTGCTGCTTGTGCACCTTTTTCTTCCACACTTTTCCCTTCCACATAACTTTCTATTAATGTGCTTTGATACAGCACTTTGGGAAAATCTAACTTCTTTTGCAATTACCTTTTGAGGCTTTCACTCCTTATGAAGGGTGTCAATGATGGTTTTCTGCACAACTGTCAGGTCTGCAGTCTTTCTACTGAACCAGACTGAGAGACCATTTAAAGGCTCAGGAACCCTTTGCAGGTGTTATGGCTTAATTAGCTGATTAGAGTGGGACACCTTGAGCCGAGAATATTGCACCTTTTCACAATATTCTAATTTTCTGAGATTGTGGATTTGGGGTTTTCATGAACTGTAAGCCATAATCATCACAATTATGACAAATCACGGCTTGAACTATCTTGCTTTGCATGTAATGAGTCTATCTCATATATTAGTTTCACCTTTTACTGAAATAAATGAACTTTTGCACGATATTCAAATTTTTTGAGTTTCACCTGTATAACCTTCAAAGATGATGGGTCTTTTTTGTGATATAATGCAAAGTGTTCCGATAAGCTACTGTATTGATAGCCCTTTTTAATGTTTTCTATTCAATGACAACATAATGACTTTCATTTTTCTTCTTTCCCACTATTCCATAACTCACAACCCACTCATATGTATTAATTTATTATTTATTAAAATGTTACAAAGTTAAACATACTTTCATGCTTAGACATTATACCGTTATCTTATATTTATACCTTTATACCTTTATTAACACATTAGCATTTATTTCAATATACATAAGTTAATATTTACACTTTTCTAATTCATGATTCTCAATTTAAGAAACATTTTTTCCTGCCACATTTGCATTAACCTATGATTTACATTTTTCTAATTTATGTTTACAATTTTCGGTGCTTTATGGTATTGATGTAAATGATTCTACATATTTCTATATATTGCAATTCACTTTTGTAATGTTTTCTTCTTTATCCTAAAATGATTAAAAATGTATTGCTAAAAAACTACTCCATATTCCAGAAATGAGACAGCTTTTATCCTGAAATAAAAAAATTGAGTGCAGTACAAAGCCACACATATAATACAGTGGTTGATGGGTACGTAAGCAGCCTCATTTGGCAGTAATGTAAAAGAGAATGAGGAGGCAGTTTTTATCATGAAGCAAAAATATATTGTACATTTTTTTCAGAGACAACAGCCATAAATATGGTAGAGACTCACTGAACAGTATGTTAGCAGTTTTACTAGGTTCCAATTACAGAGTTAGAGAAAAGGCATTTGTTATGAAATAAAACTTAGAATGTAGAATTTCAAACACAATAACTATAAATATTGTACAGACTCCATGCACAATATATGAGGACATTTACAATGCCATAGTCTCAAAAGGAAAAACAAGGCTGTTTTTAATCAAGAAATTAAAATGAGAGTGTATTATTTCAGAGAAAAAAAGAGAAATGTTGTAGAGCTGATGCACAGTATGTAAGCAGTTTTACTAAGCCACAGTTTCATAGAAATATTGCAGAGACTCGATGCATACAATAAAAGTGGTTTTAGTAGGCCTTCGTTTCACAGGGAGAGACCAGACATGTTTAAATCAAGAAATTAAAATAAGAGTGTATTATTTCACAGAAATATTGTAGAGCTGATGCACTAGTAAGCTGCTTAAGTAGGCTTCAGTTTTAGAGGAAAACACCAGGGATGTTTTTTTCAATAAATCAAAAAGCAGTTTTTTTAAGCAATAGTTTCATAGAAATATTGTAGAAACTCGATGCATAGACTGCAGATTCACAGATGGGGGTCCCAGACAGGATTTCATCAAGAAATACAAATAGGAGTATATTATTGAAGTGCATTATTTCACAGAAATATTTTATAGACTTGATGCACCAAGGGGGTCGATTTATAAAGAATTTGCATAGCCATTCACCCAGTGAAAGTGCATTTACGGTTGTTCTATGTGAATGTGGCAAAAAATGGATGCACATACACTATATTGCCAAAAGTATTGGGACACCTGCCTTTACACCACATGAACTTTAATGGCATCTCAGTCTTAGTATGTGGGGTTCAATATTGAGTTGGCCCACCCTTTGCAGCTATAACAGCTTCAACTCTTCTGGGAAAGCTGTCCACAAGGTTTAGGAGTTTGTCTATGGGAATGTTTGACCATTCTTCCAGAAGTGCATTTGTAAGGTCATGCACTGATGTCAGACAAGAAGGCCTGGCTCGCAGTCTCCACTCTAATTCATCTCAAAGGTGTTTTTTCGGGTTGAGGTCAGGACTTTGTACAGGCCAGTCAAGTTCCTCCACCCCAAACTCACTCATCCATGTCTTTGTGGACCTTGCTTTTGCACTGGTGCACTCTCATGTTTGAACAGAAGAGTTGGGAGCATGAAATTGTCCAAAATGTCTTGGTATGCTGACGCCTTAAGAGTTGCCTTTACTGGAACTAAGGGGCCAAGCCCAAAACCCTGAAAAACAACCCCACACCATAATCCACCCTCCACCAAGCTTTACATTTGGCACAATGCAGTCAGGCAAGAACCGTTCTTCTGGCAATTGTTAAACCCAAAGACATCCATCAGATTGCCAGACAGAGAAGCATGATTTTTCACTCCAGAAAACACATCTCCACGGCTCTAGAGTCCAGTGGCGGTGTGCTTTACACCACTGCATACGATGCTTGGTGCACTTGGTGATGTAAGGCTTGGATGCAGCTGCTCAGCCATAAAAACACATTCCATGAAGCTCTCTACACACTGATGTTGTGCTAAACTGAGGGCCTGGAGGTCTTTAACTAATGACTTTGTAGACAGTTGGAGACTTTTGTGCACTTTGTGCTTCAACATGTGCTAACCCAGCTCTGTTTTTTACGTGACCTACCACTTCATGGCTGAGTTGCTGTTGTTCCCAGTTGCTTCCACTTTGTTATAGTACCACTAATAGTTGACCTTGGAATGTTTAGTAGCAAGTACATTTCACTGACGGACTTATTGCACAGGTGGCAACCTATCACAATACCAGGCTTGAATTCTCTGAGCTCCTGAGAGCGACCCATTATTTCAAAAATGTTTGTAGGTGCTTGATGTTATACACCTGTGGCCATGGAGGTTGCTGGAACACCTGAATTCAATGTTTTGAAGGGGTGTCCCAATACATTTGGCAATATAGTGTATATTATATGCTGTTCAACTGTAAACCATTGATTTTAAACGTAAAATGCCACATCTGCCCAGTAGATAACGTTAGGTATCATAGAAATTTCCTATAATACTTAGCTCCATTTAGTGGCTTCATATGGAATTTTCTATTTAAAATCAATTATTTACAATCAAACATCACTGGATATATCCTATTCATTTTTGTCCCATTACCACAGAATGAATGTACATGCTGTTTCACAGGCTTGTCACATGAACCTCAGTTGTCTCGAGTGAATTATAGAATGTTAAAGGTTACAAGCAATATGTATAATAAAAACATCCAATAAAGAAAGTTAATATATAATGTAAATACAGTATATAAACAACTGATGTTCATGGATATCGCTTGTATCTTTTAACATTCTGTCATTCATTGAAAATAACTTATTAAGTTAAATTTTAATACGTTTTCTGACAAGCCTGTTTTTATTATGTGATATTCTGTATAGCTACACATAATGTTTTATCATTATGACCATGATTTTGACTATTCTTTTAGCCTTGATCA